GAAAGAGACTCAATAGCATCCTCCTAACCTGTTGCACCTCGTATTGTAGCTGCAGTCCTCAATAACGCTTCTCGAAGTAATTTCCCTTCTTGCATTGTAGAAACGGCAGAAGCCCAAAACTCACTAGTTTCCGTACTTCCACCAAGGTCATCATCTACTCTAGCACCATAACTTGCACTTTCTCGTGCTGCTATTTCGTGCTCTTTTAAGTAATCTTGAATCAATGCTCTCATTCCTCCCTTGCCAAAATTGGTTTGAAGAAGATCCTCTCTATCTTTTAATGCTATCTTCCCATCTTTCCAGCAAATAATTCCTTGCCGTATCATATTATTAAATTCATTGCAATCTTTCCTAGTGTGTGAAGCGTCATCACACCAAATGCATCTTTGTACATATCCTTGTTTTGAAACATTCTTCGAATTGTTTGTAGAAGTATTCTCTTCAAGTCTTGCCAATTTGATTTGAAGATCTTGCATTCCTCGTATAATTTCTTCCATCCCCATATCTGCTTTCTTTGATAAGGATGTCGAAGGTTGAACTGTAGGCATTGTTGGTGGTATTGTACGTACTGGAGCTTTGGATGCTTGTACTGTTTTCGGAATATTGCTCCTATCCTTCCTCCTTTCTCTTTTTGTAAGCAACCCCACCGCATCTTCAACGTTCTTCTACTTTGTTGTCAATCCTTCATCTTCTTCTTTGTCTTCAAGGAGTTCTAATTTCCCTTGTAATTCTCCATTAGCAGCTTGAAGAAATAGATCAACTTTGTTCGGCTCTAATGTCAATTTTTCTACCTTCGACAATTGAGAGTACTGCCTCTCAAATTTCCTTAGTAGCTCTATTGCTTGCAAATTCTTATTGGGCCGTTCAATCCATTCCAGAAATAGCTTCTTAGTAACGCGATCAGCATCTTCCAAGAAATATTCATCTTTCAATGCATGTGAAAAAACCTCCCATGAATTCCCATAATGATCCGTAATCGATGTAATATGCTCTCTTATCTCCGATATCATGGCAAGTCCATATAATTCAACCATTTTCTTCTCAAAAACCCGATTTAATTCCATTTCACGAACATAACATCTTAAATACCTTAAAATATTCCTTCCATCAAATTGATCAATTTTATTGACCATTGCTTGTAATGCTTGGGTTGCCAAAGCTTCCTTTCGATCATTGCTTTGCTATTGTTGCATTGATAATGAGAAGGCTTGAAACATACTAGCAATAGATGGATCCATGTGCATATCTTATCTTTTAGAAGAACCTCCACCAGAAACTCCTCCCAAAGATCCTTCAAAATTTTTATTTTCGTTCTCCATAAAAATAAAATCAAACAAAATCCAATACCTTCCACCTTAAGCTTTCACGTCGGGTTCACCACTTATGTAGTATTACGTGCTTTTCTACTTGAGAACGTGCCGAGCGTCTGGTTGTAGAAGGTAGTATGGAGATTCGCTAATATTCAAGCAGTCTATCGGTTTTTGATTGTTGGAATACAAACGATTGCAAGAATATAACGTAAATCTATACGGATGTCCTTCGACTGCTCGTCAAAATCTTTTTTGCCCCAGTCGGTAGGTCTCTAGACGTTACAAAGAACCTCGAATAACCCGATCTACTAATCTCCGATACCACTTTATACTCACAACCTTGTATCCACTGACTATCTTGTTAGATTAATCCAAAAAATTTCATTCACTCCACATACTCAATCCTATAGACACCCTTTTAATCCTTCAACCACAGACATAACTTCGATTTCACAAAACAATCAAGAGTAATCACACCCACTTCATTAAAAATCCCGATTCACTAGTACAACACTGACTTCAGCAATGATTGCCTCAGTCATCCCAAAACCCTATGAAAAAAATCCTCAATTCTCCGTCTTTTTTCCCCGCCCCCGAAGCATGAAGCTAGCTCTCCGATCCTTAAAAAAACCCTGATTCTCCCTCCTTCATTTCTTAACCTATCCTCTCCTTTAATCCTAATTCTCCCCTCTTTCAAACCCTAGCCTCCAAATTTCTTCAATCTTCCGTCTTAGATTCGACATTGGCTCCGCCGTCAGAGCTTTCTCCTCCATTTTTTGCCTTTTAAAAGGTCCTTTTTCTGGAAACAACGTTCCCTAAAATGGCACAAAAAACAGGACAGCCTGAAACGGAATCGAAACCCCCGTAATCGGGACCACATTGAGTCACCCGACCAATTCAGGTCTCATATTGGCTAAGAGGCCCGTAGTAAGACCTGGATGTTCCCGTAACTAGGTTAAATTAGTCTTTTGCGTCAGATTGGCTAAGGCTCGTAGTAAGACCTAGATGTTCCTGTAATTGGACCGCATTGGGTTGCCCGACCAAGTCAGGTCTCATATTGGGTAAGAGGCCCGTAATAGGACCTAGATTGGATGTCTTGAAATTGGATCCAATTGGCTCTTCGAACCAGGTTCACCCGTCGTTGAATTGGTCCTTTCCCTTTCTGCTGACTCCCATTATTGGAATCGAATGGAGCATTTCAGTATGCCCCGGCTGACTGTAACGGGGTGACTGAACCTAGCCTCTCAGTATTTGCACTGGAATAGGTCGTTGCTCCCAATATTCAAGGTAACTGAACATTAATAAAAGTCCCCTTTCTTTATATTTTCACAATATACTCGTGTTACAAGACGACAACGTTATATAAAAGGTACTAAAGACTTGGGATTTTACTACACACAATCCGCAGATCCAAAATTGGTTGGATATTGTGATACAAGATATAAATCTGATACTGCAACAATTAAATCTCAAACAAGATATGTATTCTTAAGACATGAAGCTACAATATTATGGAAATCAATGAAACAAATAATAACTGCAACTTCATCCAACTATGCAGAAATTATTGCCTTACATGAAGCATCTCGAGAATGTATTTGGTTGCGATCAATTGACAAATTCATTCAAACAACCTAAGGATTTTCATATGATGATTCTCCAACTATCTTGCATAAAGATAATAGTACTTGTATTGCACAGATGCAAGTTAGTTTCATTAAAGGCGACAGAACAAAGCATATTGATCCAAAGTATTTTAATTATACCCATGACTTGATTATTGATGAAGCACTTATAATTAAAAAAATTGAATCTACAAATAACCTTGCTGATCTCTTCACCAAAGCTCTTCCATTAAGCAACCATTGTCAACTTATTTATGGCATTGATATGCGGTGACTTGCTCTTCTTGAATAAGAAAATTAATGAGCTCTTTAAATAATTAAAGAAAATGATGTACTCTTTTTCCTTCATCTATGGTTTTGTCCTTAAATAAAATAAGATTTTCCTACATAAGATTTTAATGAGGCATTAATTGTTGATCTTGCAAGATCACAGAAAAGTACAGATCAAAATTCTATACAAATTTTATATTATGTAAATATTATGATGAGGGAGGAGGAGTATTGAGATCATTAAATATAGCCGGCTTTCTCCACAATATTTACTATAGAATACAATAAATATTGTAGCTACAGTATTTAGAATCTAGTGAAGAAGTATTGTTTATCCTCTCCTCTTTTTCTCTTCTTGTATACTAGACACAACCAAATCAACAGATTTTTATGTGTGAAGCTCTCTCTCCTTAGAAACCCTCTTGTGTGTATGACTTACTACTACTCTTGTGTGTGTGTATGACTTACTATTACTCTTGTGTCTTTCTAAACATTCTCAACAGAAACCATCCCCCAGCATTGAGTGTAGAATGGAACTACTGTCCACCTGTGTTTCATGTTGCAGTGAGTGTCTCCCCAGAACCTTCACTCTGATCACTTGGAAGTCGCTGGTGTACCGTACCGAGCAGAGGACAGAAAATCCCGAGACCATAGAAGTGCTAGGATATTGGGGGGATGAAGCTTGAGCGTGGAGCTAAGGAAACCAGAGTTGGAGCAATGGAAAGAGGACAGGGCTCTAACAAAGTCGGAGATATAAATTGAACAGAAGGGCAACCACTGAGCCTGCTATAAGTTTGCGCATTTCGAGGTTTTAATGCAGCGTGATTTCCGACAATATTTTAGACCTCACTAAAATCCAGCCCCATTCCTGAAATATCCTTTCAATAACTGACAATGGTTTATGTTAACTCTATTTTCTGCAAGATGCGGGGAAACAATTTAGTTATTCGTTTTATAGCATGAAAATTCTAATTTGTTCGTTTTGTCTGTTCCTTGAATTTTTGTACAATTCACGAGATTGAATTTGGTAGTTTGGGTGTACAAGTTGTGAGCATACACTGTTTATCAATGCTTGCTTTCCATTTCATTTTCCTTCATGGGACTACGATTCCAGATATTTACTCATTGTATTCGTTTCATCAGACTAATCCAAGTACATTAATGAAAAGTGAAGAATTTCTAAATGCTTATTGAGTTAAACATCTGAAAATGAAAGTCTATACATTCCGCCGTGCTTGCTCATCAGTCGTTCGTATTTGCAATCGTCATTGATTTGTTCCTCTTTCATCAATATTCAATTTTCGAGAAGTCAATCACAAACAAGCGTTCCAATCCATCGGGCATTATTGTATACCCGAAATGAAGCCACGGCAAATAACAAAGCAAGGTTCGAGAAAAAGTCATCTAGAACATCATTATGCTACTTCAAACACGAGAAAAAAGCCCATATAACTAATTGTTTCCTATGAGCATTTTAATGTAAGTTCTACAATGAAAAATAGAAAATCGATAATGCCTATTCAGCGGTACCACCTACTAAAAGTACTCACATACTAATTTGGTGCAAGATCACTCTACTTCACCAAATACAATCCATTACAACTTGAGATAACCCCAGGAATATTCAGCTGCAGTTCACAGAATGGTATCCAACGCGTATTCACAAGCACGCAAACAAAAAGTAAAGCCGTTAGACTTTCTTGCATACAGAGGGACTACATTAATCATCTACACTTCGATCAATTTATTTCCAACTACTGTAAAGATTTAACTGCGGATTCGTAAAACCGGGTTATATGATGGTAAGTAACACAAAATAGTTTGTGTAAATTTTCATCTTCTGAGAAGAAATTGGGCAAAGGAACAGCCACTAATTCCCCAAATCCAACATCGATCTTCAGATATAAGAGTATACAGTAAGATTTCTGTTACCCATCGTATAAGCAATGTTTCCAAACTTTACTTGTGAGGCGAAGTAAAATAGGAAAAAGAATGTACGCTATGGCCAAGTTAATGTTACTTGAAAGACAGCATCAAGATGATTGTGCTTAACATGAGGTTTGCCCAATCTACTGTTCCATTCTATGTGTACATCGTGACATTCATTGAATGACTGCCAGGTTTTTTGACAAGATAATTGTGCACTAGGACCTCAGTGACACCTATCTGAATAAAAACTCATCAGTGAAGCTGTTATCTTACTGTTGTGAACGATTTATCACACTCCTTCAGACTATCGAGCATGTGAAACACCATTTGCTGAACCACTTCATCTGCGAAAAACACAACAGCATGTGAGACTTCAACATTAAAAGGCACCCCATGATCGCTATTCAACGGGCACAAATCATACCTGGTATTTACTGCAGAACACGAATTACTGTTACATTAATAATTCTGGAAGATAGTATGGTAGCAAAGCCCCACAAAAAATTTACCTCCAGGAGCTCGTATAAGAGCTGCGCAAAGTTCAAGTAAAGCTTCTTTCGAAGGTGTGTCATGCACGGTTTTATCTGAATCCAAACCATCACCATCCAACGCATTTGGGCTTTCACTCAAGCGCAGTTTTGCCAGATTCAGGTAAGGTAAGTGACCAGCTCCAACTTCATATCGGGAACATGCCTTAGCCCTAAAATCTCATGTTTCCGTAACGTCAGAAATTGCGTGCAGCATGAATAAGGACTTCCAAATAAGATGGCTTTCTCAAAGATAAATTTGTGACAAAAAGGGTTACGAATATACCTCTGAAAAAAGCGGGCAGCAAGACTAATGTCACCAGCGTCCCACAACTCGCAGGCCACATCGTTCCAAGGATTTCCTGATCAATTATCCAACAAGAGTCATATTCATAACCCCTACAATATCTTTCAGAGTAGACTTCTGATAATCTCAAGCACATGCAAACCACTCCCATCACAAGGGCTGCCAAAAGACTAAAACACAGTTGAATATAAAAATAAAAAAACAAAATATAATTATATTTGAGAAAATATAAAAATATACAATTGTGAGAAAATAGCAAAATATACAATCATTGGCTAACCAGAACCCAACAAAAGATACAAAAACCATTATCATTCCAAAAGTGAATACGATCTGAATTACTCGAATGATGGAGTTTAATGAAGACAAATACCATAATCATTGTCGAGAAAGATAGCGCGAGCACATTCACGAACACACTCACTTCGATCTGCACCGGCCTACGATCCCACTGAGTGCTAATAAATACACCTCACTTTCAACAAACTTTCAACAGCAAGGGTCAATCACAACTTCCAAAAAACTCAATACTCTAAACTATAACTAGACAGACTTCAGTCAACTATTCTTTAGATTTATTCTTTTACTTTTAATATTGAATTGTCTCCCTAGAAAATAGCTCGAATACCACCCAGATAGCAGTACACTCACAAGTCGTTGCATCCATGCCATAAACGTGTACGCTGCTGCACTTGGATTGAAGTGGCAAGCGGCTCGAAATGCATGTGTAGCAGCACCCATGTTTCCACCTGAAAGCTCCATTTGGCCTTGCTGGAACTGATGAGTTGCTGCAGCGTATGCAGCCTGGGTGTCTCCTTCCAACCTCCCGACAGGTGGAACCATCTCTGTCTCCGTACGCATACCAAGCCTAACCTGCTAACAAGACAAATATAAGATCCAAGCCTTATCTGAAGCAGACATTTTATTTTCAGACGATGAGAAAACCTCCAAACTACCACCACCAAAGAATCCGAAAAAAGAAGGCAAAAGTAGGGGACACGGAAAAGCTCGAGCTGGATATCCTGATACCCAACCATGGTTCAAATGGTCCAATGGAGCACAATTAGCGAAGAAAATCGAAGGATAACCATATTCAACATTTGATGGTCACGTATAAGACTTCCGGAATAAGTTGGAAAGCTTACATCCTTGTTTTGAACTCTATCCGTCAGCTGCTGGTCAGATTCATCTGAGGCATTGCTATCACCACATTTATCCGCTTGTTTCCCAAATTTGCGACTCATATGAGAAGTGGTGGGCGAATCAGTGGGAGACCCAGATTCCTTGAAGGCAACACCATGTGCAGGGTACAATAAAGGAGGTGGAGGTGGCGGGCGTGCTGGAAAAGGGGCGGCATTTGGAAGTTGATTTCCAGCTTCAACCATAGCCAGCCGTGAACATCCTCCAGTGATGAGCTCTTGGGCAATCACACTAGCTTGATTTGGGTAAACAGCCTTGCAACCTACCAGACATAAAGCCTGCAAATAGGAGCACCCAACTGATGAGAACTAAAATAGAATGTACAACTAACCTCGTCTTGAGAGACAAACTGTAGAAGGCAAAAAGAATCATGCAAATTATGAAAGATAACTGGATCGATGCAACAGCATACCTCCAAGGAAACACAACCACATAAGTAGAGAAGATTAGCCATAGTAACTCTTGGGCAGCCCGCGAGGGACAAAATGACTAGAAGCTTCAACTTACTCCCAATCTCCTTCCTGTTAGTATCAGGAGCACAAAACTGGTACACATTAAAATCTAAAATTTGAACGTGAAGATACAAATCAGCCACTAATCAGAGGAGAACAATCGAGTTCTTGAACACAAATAATACAGTTCGAAAATTCGAATCTTTATATAATATAAACCTATATTTAAGAAGAGGAACTTACAAGGTGTGTTGGGACACATTGACACAAAGACCAAGGTCCAGTTCTCGCAACTGGGACAAGTTGGCAAGACCTGCCAGAGCTTGCCCGCTGACTGTATGAAGGCCTCCAAACAATCGAAGTCTTTGAAGTGAAGAACAATTTTCAACAACCCTGTTCACCTACACAAGGAGAGGTGACACTTCAGGCCTTAAATAATCATAGCTAAATACGGAAAGAAAGAAAAAAAAAAATGATGATACCTTGGATCATTAAATGCACTGGGAACTACAAATGAACAAATGCATAACTATACGTATTTAATTTTCCATGAAAGACAGTCATTAAATAATATATTCTCTCCAAAAGGTACTTGAAAATTCAACAGAGTCATTCAGATGGTGACATACACCTCCAGACCAATGTTACACAACTGAATCTTCGAGAATCCATACCACAGAGTCGTCCAGGTTACAGAACGAGAGATCCAAACAGAGGAGCTGTTTTCCGCAGTCAGACTTCATGAGAGATCCTAGACACTTGCTGGATATACGCCAGCAGAGAGCTATGGACAACACAGCGGTATGCTGTCATGAGAAGTAAAATCGAGCGTCAATGGTCGAAATGAGACATCCATTAGATCCAACTTGTAAACCCAAGACATCCTACATACACACACGTAAATAGCACATAAAATGAAACTCCACATGTCACTTATTACTCTCCCTTTAAAGGTAAAGATGTAATGTCGAGCAACTGCTGAGCACAAGCATTGCAACCGCTAAACGTTGCTCATATTGCAGATATACGTGTAGCTAAGTGAAGACAAACCTTTCCCCTTCTCAAAACTGACAACAACATCATGCTCAAACAAACGATATTCCACAAACCTTGAGGCGCTTCTCTGCAAGAAGACCAAGCTCTCTGTCACCAAGCGATTCCGCCACTGATACCAACTCAACATGTTTCCATAGAGGTTCACAGCTGGCAACATCCCTCCATCTTCGGCAAACTGCTGAAATGCCAATAACCTCCCGCCTTGACAGCTTTGCAAATATGCGCATTCTGATAGCATACAGAATATACGGAAGACTCACAACCAAAACAAAATGCCATTCCATCCAATATTTTATAATACCAATACACTAGTGAAATAATGTTGTACACGAGCATTGCAGCTCTCTATGCAAATGAAAGTAGAATTAAAAATAAATAAAAAAACTTACAAGAGGCATTTCATGAAATCCAAAAAGAGAAGACCTAGACTATAATAAAACAACACCATAATAAGGACAAGTAGACAAGAACTCATCCACGGCTTCTATTGAAATGATTATGTCACACTCTCTGATATTATCATATGTTACAAATTAATGCGCTCCAAATAGTTAATTTGAAACTTTTAGACCCTAAGACTACAAATTTTATTATGTGATAGACTATGTATGGAACTCTCAATAAATCACACGTATGGAGAAAGCACTTACATGACATCATCAGAAACTCTATCAATAGGGGATAAATTCCCAAACCGCTTCCTCCGAGCATCGTCCACAAATTCACAAGACTTCTCCAAATTCCACAAACAACTGCAGTGGATGGGCCTTTCTGCTCCAAATGAATACGTTGGCCATTTCCTTCGTGCAGTAAACCCTCTCGTAAGGTCTAATATGTCATCCTGATATTCTTGTCGGTGCGTTTGCGCGGTGGGTCCACATTGACAGTGGGAAACTTGCTGATGGTTTTGGGCAATGCCGTCAGTTGAACTACTTTTGCATCCACATTTGTTGCATTCGACAGTGTTCCTGCATACAAAATTTCCATACCAACTGCCAGATATTCCAGGCGCACACCCTGTCTTTGAGGAAGCTCTAATATCTGCCTCATCTCCCGAACTCTGGCTTTTGGAATCAGACTCTGATGTGGAGCTTTTCACCGTTTCACGTATTTCATTCAGTGAGCAGCTTCCAAGAGACGCAAGAGCAGCCTTTAACAACTCATCATCTCCTTGAGGTGAAGAGGATTGGTTACCCCACCGTCCTGCCTGCCACGCAAACTGTTCGCTTTCTACCTGACTGACATCAGCCGCAGCTGCTCTTGCATTTTGACGAAGGGCTAGATCAATTCGCAATGCCGTGCGACCACTCTCATCCCAGACTGCATTCCCTTTTGCCCCCCACAACCAAGTATTCCAAGCTCTCTCCTCTCTCCTTGCCTTCCTCTGCTCCTTACTTTTCACCATATCTGCCCCTACACTTGTATTACTTCAGACAAGAACTTGTCGCTCTCAGAAGCAATGTTGGAATACACATATCATGAGTTAACTGTAGACCACAATTCGTAACTTGTGCCAGTCCAAATAACAAGGCGATGGAACAGTCACACTGCGATTTATCATATATGGATGGGCGTGGGCCGAAGTCGGCAGTGCAATCTTGCGTGATGAAGTTCCTAAGTCTGCAAGAAACATCAACGTCCAGAAAGAAATCAATTAGTATCTCGTTTTCACATGGGCTCTCGGTAACTCGACTTGGAGCCTAATGCAACAACTAGATACAACAACACCTTGAAATATCTAAGTTAAAAAAAATTAAAGGGTTACCCATTCGTTGCACATAAAAATAAAGGAAATTTCAATCAAAAACTCGGACGTGTCACAATATGCCAGAACACAGACGGAGCATAATGTGCTATTGTCACAAGAATTGAACTCGATGATTCAGTGAAAGATGCAAACGCCAGCTTCACGAGATCAAGACGCTAAACAGCACCGTATACAAAGTCCCTCACGACTTGACATTCATAGTCAGAATCGGCCAGTTCGCCTAAATAGAAATGTAGATTAATAAAAAGAAAATGCTCTAGATAATGTCAAATAAAAGTTGGAGGTATGAGACAGTATGTATACCACATTCGACCATAGAAAAAATAGGGTACGGTGACTGATAGAAAGGAGCTGATGCGACTAAGCACATTCTTGATGTACAAGACACTTTCAAAATGGGCCGAACACTCACAATCTGTTATGCCCTTCTTCGCAAACTTGACAATCAGATTTTGAGAGGGTAATGAACTAAAAGAGTGCAGAACAGGACCAAACACTCAACTGACCCTAGCCATACCGAGCTTCCATCAGTTACAATGTCTTGCACTCGCACATGAAGGAACACTAATCAAAGCAAAGACTACGGCCTTCATTTTCTGCCCTCAAAAATCTCCCGAAAGCGAAACTGGAGCGTCAGACACTAACCGCACAGGAAACTTCAAAACCAGCCATTTCTGCACCAGGAACACGAAGAGTGCCACCTATGCCACGAGAAGGGGGGAAAAGAAAGAGAAAAAAAAAAAAAAAAAAAAAAAAAGAAGAAGTCCAAACCATGAAGACGCATGGCCGAGGGTAAATTGCAAAACCACACAAAGTGCCCAACTTTATCCTACCATACAGCAGTATCACCTACAAGTGAAGCCTACGACGTGCCGCATCCACTTCAAAGCCCTGTCCCAAAAACTCCAAATCTCGCAGAAAAATTTCAGCGCTACAAGTGATTCCGCTTACAAACAACTTGACACTTATGCTCCCATTGGCACTCAAGAAAAAACACTAAGCCTAAGGCGGCACCATCACCACATCCCCTGCTCACTGTCGTTCAAATCTCGCCGAACTCGCTACCACAATACCCTCCACATACCTTATAATTCAACCTGTCGGCCACCACTGCATGCCGAACACTAATCCCAACATTGACAGCCTCAACTGGTCCGAGATCCTCGACGCATGCTCACTCTCACGATCCTTCCGGCGGTGCAAACCGCCTCCACGGATGATTTTCTACCGGCACTCGAAATTCGTCAAACCCGAGAAAAGAATTGAAAAAACAAGAGAAAAAGAAGAAGAAGAAGAAGAAGAAGCTGACACATGAATAAATATATATAGGTAGATAGATGATCAAATGGCGAAGGTGAACCTCCGTCTAAGCTTACAGTGCGGTACGAAACTACGGCAGAGCATCTAACCGAGCGCGCTACGAAACACCAGGGTAAGAGATGGAAAACGAAAATCGTAAGCAACCGCAAGGATTTGCCGAAAATCTGCAGGCAATAATTGTTAAGGGGAATTGCAAAGAGAGAGAGAGAGAGAAGCAAAGCAAGTAAGCAGGCAAGCCAGGGGAGAAGACGCCACGACAGACCGGCAATGCAAATGGCAGATATTTTTCGGCAGCAGTCAATGACATCGCGGGAATCGGTCCCCGTGCGTGCGTCAACTGACTGGCTGGTCCCCGCGGTACCGCCCCCTAACCCCGTCCGCCCAGGGAGAAATGACTGACTCCCTGGCATCGCAGGTTATCACGGGCTCCCTCCCAGTTACGACGTCCAGCTAGATTTCAATTATAGGGGCCCGGGCGCCATCGTCTCCATCCCAATAAATATCACGTTTATAGACGCAGACCCGCTCCCTCTCTACGCCCGCTCCCATTGGCGAACTCTGTAAAGTTCACCTAAAGGAGAATTGCAGATATTTTCAGTACAAACAGGCAGATGAATCCAAAGCCTTTTCCTAGGAAAGTTGGATAGTTTCAGTGACCCATTTCTGGGACAAATATTAAATAACTAACTAAATAAATAACTTAGGTTCCTTCCCTGTCAACATTGCCCTCCCTCCTGTGTGAATCCGACCTCAGTAGGGACACCATGCTTGTGGGTGAAACCTCACTTTGTATTAAAACTCTGAGTTTTCCGAGGTGGGTAGGGCTTGGTTTTGAGGTTGAAAGAAGAAAGGAAAAATTGGATGGTTCCTATGGAGTTTTTTTTGTGATTCCACCCCCATTTGTTATAACATGTGAATGCCTAAACTTGGCGCCGATGGTGTGGCCTTCTGCTCACCCCCAGATTCATGATCTGAAGCTTGTTCACACTGCTGCTGCTGCTGCTTCTTTTCTTTAATTCCTTGCCCTTCCCCACTTTCTTTCTTTCCTTCACTTATTTCTTTTATTTACTTACTGGTTTGATTGCTTCATATGAATTAAAACTTAGAATAAGAAATATCGTAAGAAATGAAAAATGAAGAATTCAAGTACTCAAGGAAAACTATGGAACTTGGTTGGAATGAAATAAATTAATGTTTGTTATTGATTTTCACTTGTTGATGACTGGGGTAATAATGCAATTTGGGATTCAAATCCAAAACTCGTCAAAAAAATTCCTATTAATTTCTATTGCAATTTTACTTATTTAAAAAAATAATTTTGGACTGCTCAATTCAAAAAGCCAATATACATATGTAAATTTCTTGTTTGAAACTGAAAATAGAGAGTTGAATAAATACATGCTTTCATATAAAGAAATATTAGTTGTGATTTGATATTTTTTTTTCAAATTATGAAATGAAATATGGTTTTGTGCATGGCAATTTTGGTGTAGCACGACAAGTGGTATCAGCAAGTGTGAATAAATCTAATAGACGTGATTAATTTTTTAAGCTCCAAAAATGATATGCTTATAAATTATGTGATTTGACCATTGAATTGAAGGTTGGGTGGTACTGATTTATAATGAACAACCACCAACAAGCATGCATTTAGAGCCAAATTATATGCACACCATTTAAAAAAGAACGGTTTTTTTTTTGGAATTTGATTTGTAGGGTTAAAAGTGAATATAAGTTTTTTAAAGTATAACATGTGAGAACCATGCAAGTTGTACAACTTGGTTGGATCTAATTTTTACTTATTCCAATGCAAGTTACTACTATTCATCACAATTGATTGTTTCAAAACTTTTTTCTTTTTGTTAATAAAGGATATGTATGTATATATATTCCTTTTTCTTTTCTTTTCTGTACGTGACTGGTCATGTTGAGTGTTGTACTTGTTAATTCTAATTCAGTATTATCAGATTTTAACAATTGATTAATGCAAAATATTGAAATAGGTGTAGAGATAATTAATCATAACAAGTTATGTGATCATAGTCAGTACGAGGCTTTACATTATGACATGTAGAGTGAAATTTTAAAATGAATAGAATGACTAATCTGAATTAGCTTGTGATGAAGTCATTCATAGTTGTATCAATTTATGTAAAAGGTTTTCCAGAGGTGGTTGGCTTTACTACATACTTTTAATACCTGTTTCCATTGATATATTATTATTTTTGAAAATGTTGATCCAATTTTTATATTAAAACAAGTTATATTATTAATAAAAATTTATTGATTTTGCTTTTACAGTTTTATCAAATCCAACTTTTGCAAGGTTTGTTTTTAAAAAACCAAGTTTGGTGAACATTTCCAAGGTAAAACCATTACAATTGTCACATAAACAGTTGGAAATTAGAGCATTGCCATTCATGCCATAATTTTTTTCATTTTTTTCTTTTTTCTTTTGCAAGTAGGTAACACTTTCTAGCATAGTGGAAATAATGCAGAATGACCTACAAAAATAAACATGGACATTCTTCCTTTTCTTTATTTACAATTAAACAAACAATTTTCTGTATGAATTGATCTTTGCCCTAATACTGTACTTTAAATATTAATACCCAGTATCCTCTATTCCATCAAAACTGTTAATCTTGCAACATAAAGAGCCTGTCATCCATCTTTTACTAATACATTATCTGCTCTGCCTTCTAATCAATTCAATCCAATTCTCAATGGCATCCTGTGAACTTTAGAGCATGAATTTTTGGTCATTGGTTGAGGTACTACTTGTTAAGAATTTAACCAACTTGCATTCAAAGCCTTGAAATGGCCTGGAAGCAGAGTGCTACCTCAATTGTATATGTACGTTTTAAAATGATCTTCAAACTTTATCATTTCAAAACGAAAATTGAAACATGTGCAAGTGGGTATAAGTTTTTACATACAGTAAGACAGACATACATAGACATGTATAAGAAAAGAATAGAAAAGAAAAGAAATATATGTGTGTGTGTATATATATATATATATATATATGTATATTGCTCAAAGTAAAACAACTACTCCTTGTTGACACATTCAGTATACATTTTCTTCACATCAGTGTCAAAAGTCAGAAATAAATATTGTTTCTCAAGTCATTTTGTATTTTGAACATAATACATAACTCTTGTATATATATATATATATATTCTTATCAAAAGAAAAAGGCTTCTACTAAACCACGAAAATAATTTTGAATTAAATCTGAAATTAATAGCAACAGAGTGAACTTGAAACACTCTTACAAACATTTTATTTTTTTATTTTTTTATTTTTTTTATTGAATGTGCTAATTTTGAAAATGTTAACCGAGTAACAGTTTTCATGCAATTTGAGATTCCATGAGTTATTCTGGGTTAATTTGAAAAATACTAATACATCTAAAATTTACAATTTTTCTTTTTTCTTTTTTAAGCAGTGCACATTACAAATGTTACCACAATTCTTATCCAAAAAATGAAAATAAAATAAAATAAAATAATGATGTTACTTAAAACTACTGTGTTTTAAAAATGTCATCTGATATACACTTCTTTCTAAAAAACTTTTCAACCTCGGCACTTCCCAAAGCATTGTATTGCTTTGACCCACCAAAAATAACTGTATGAAATTCCCAGAGTCCATTGGGCAGAACGTGACCGACACAAATCGGAAGTGCATGGACAGCGGAGCGTGACACCCTGAGGAGCAGCCACGATGTCCCCCTTCACAATATGTGACCAACTGGTGCTGAATTTGGACTGGGGCTCTGAATCAGGCTTTGAGGTGGGGCCTTAGAGGAGGACCGTTTCCAGCGGTGTGAACGCAAGTGGGACAAGCCCAAGGATAAATCACGGGGCTGGGCCAATTGCGGGCGAGCACTCGATGCGATACGATCTTCGGCTGCTGCATAAGGCTCGGATCTTCCATGCCGTAGGGTTGGGTGGGGTGAGATAGGTACGTGGGATCCCATACCTCTGCCGCGCCCATCAGTTTAGATATGGTCGTAGCCACGGTAGGCCGGTGTGGACTTAGAAACATAGTCGACGGGTCCGCGTCTAGGAACGGGGCTCTATTGCAGTCCTGACCCGCGATTTGGTGGAAGGAAAGGCGGACGCTGCTCTCTCGGAGTCGTGCCCACCGTGTCAGAACCCCCAGTTTCATTTACCAGCTCCTTGGCGGTGTGAACGGATCCCCTGGCTTGTTATTTGGGGCTGGTCAATGGTGGTCCAAAACGAGGTTATGTCCTACGTGGCCACCATGCAGATTCTGAATCGCACCCAACGTGATTCGCTCAAATGTAGAACGCATTTCTCTGTAGAATCTACCTGGATCACAACACAGACCACCATTCCACCACCAATGCTTCTGACACGGCAACAGAACCTCATGAAGCTATCACGCAAGTTCGACAATTTTGATGGAGAGTTGAGCATTTAACTTATTTGAAAGGCAACGCATGAAGTACTCATGCCTAGTTCTATCCCTTGAGGACTTTTTCAAACTTGGTGTAGAAGTCGGTTTTTTTAAACATGAATTTTAATATATTGTATTCCTTAAATTGTTTCAACTTGAATAATCTTTAATATTGTTTCATAAATTTGATGTAGTCTATACTGAGAAAACAAATAGTTTAAACCATATTGGCATTGATGGATCTTGTGTTATATTATTTATTTATTTCTATGTAATATCTTCTTTAAACATGTTTTTATTTTGAAACAAATTTATTTAAAAAGAAACAAGGATAATTAAAAAAGAATAAAAAAGGTACTTCGAATTTTAGAAAGTATGAAATGAAATGTTTTTTTAAAAAATGAAAAAGACTAAATATTGAAAAGATGAATAAAACATAAAATTTTATGAAATAAATTATAAACATGACGTATATAGTGTGTTTTAGAAAAGATAAAAGATTTTGTAAACATTGATTTATTTCATATTAAAGTAACTACATTTTCACATCTTGCTATTGCAACAAAAGAATTACAATTTAATTTTTTAAAATAATAATAAAAATTACATTAATGGTTTTTTAAAAATGAATTTTTAATATAAATAATAATATTAAGAAAATATAAGAATCTTATAGATATTTATTTAGCTATCTAGAGAGAATTATATATATATATATATATATATATATATATATATATATATATATATAGATAATTTTTCTTCAAAATATCAATAAATTATATTTTGGTACAAGCATTGCTAAGGATAAGAACTTGAAGAAAT